TTTTATTTCTTTTATTTACTCGTTTATTCCCCCCCCTCCCTAGAAAAGGAAAGAGAATAGGTGGTTTTTATATATAAGTAAGAAAAGTTACTCTCTCATTAAGAACAAAAGGATTAGTATTTTCAAAGTGTTCCGTCTTACTCGCTTAGCTGTTTTAAACAATAGCTCAGTGGTATCTGCAGTTTCATTTAATGAGCTTTAATTACTTTAATAGCATAGACATTCTGCTTTTAAAAGGCATTGTTTGCTAGAGTTTTTTTTTTCTTCGTGAATAATAAAATGGGGGGGATGGATATCTGCGGATGAATTATTCTGCATTGCACGTGATGGTTAGAGACGATAAAGTGTTTTAAAATAAAAAAACAAGAACTCGGATTTGAGTTTTGCCTTCTTGCTATTTTTTTAAAGGGTGAAGTACTTTTTTTAAGTAGTATTTTTTCAGTGTGCATGCACAGAGATTACTGTATAATCTATTCAGTGGCAGAATGTTCTTATTCATTTTTCTTCAAGAATTTTTTATTTAAAAAATGTAAATAGCAATGAATGTTAGGTTTCATTCATAAACTGCCTTTCATTTTAATGAAAGGCCTCTTGCTTTCTGATACGAGTAGCTGTAGGAATACCGAAGAAGAAAGGCTTGTATTAATCTCTGTCGAAGTGCTCAGAAGATCTTCCAGTTTAGGATTGGGTTTTGTCTAATTTTAAAGATTGAACGTGTTTTTGAGGAAATAAATAAAAAAACTAGAAGTGGTTTTGTACCTCACTAAATGCATATTAACTTTCACTTTTCTGAATCATCCTGTTATTAAAATATTTTGAACTCCATTTGTAAGAACTGCTTTCCTAATCAGTTGTTTTCTTTTTCAAGCCAAGTTAATTTACCTTCTTTAGTTTTACTGAGTATGAAAACAAAAATCTTGTTATTGACTTTTTATTGGATTAAAATGACAGGAAAAATATGGTACCATATTTTATATTTTAAGGAAAGTGTTACATTATTTCAAATAAAAAGGATAAATAACTGCGTAGAGATTATTAGTATTTTCAAAGCTAGTAAACGTGAAAAGTTAACTTTTCCCTCGCTGCAATTCGAACTACATATTTTCCGTTTGTTAACTGGACGTGTTAATTACTTGCACCAGAGAGCCCGGACGGGGAAATTCGATAATATTTTATGATTACTCTATAAACGTTAATGTGAAAACTATTTATAGGCTGGAGGTTTTTATTCAGTTAATACTTGCGTAACTTAAAATTAATAGTATTGTTTTGTCTTAGTTAAAACTGAAATAGATTGAGCATTTAGGCAAATAAAGAAGTAATTTCTTTGAATGATTTTGCTGAAAAAATTGTATTTTGTTTAAAGGAAATAAAACTGTTTTGCCTTTTCTAATTGAGTTGAAGGTAGCCCCCCCCGAAAAAACATTTCACATGCGTTGTCGTAGACATATATTTATTATATAGGGGAAAACTACCCTATTCTAGTTAATCCGGATATTTGAGGATTTTTCCTTATTTTGATTAATGCGGGATATTCCTTTTTCACCAGTAGTATTTTATAAATTATGCAAAACTTATAAATGCAGATATAAGGTACGGTAGAACTCACTCCAATTATTCGAATTAATTGGGACCGGACACCATTCGGATAATTGGATTTTTTTCCGAAGAAAGGGTATATGTGCACTTTAATTAATCGCTGTATGTACTGAAATTGGAAAAAAAATGATGTTGAAAATGGGAGGAAAAAAAACTATTTTTAAAGAAAAAGAGGTTTTACTTAATTAAAATGAAAAGGCAACACTTTTACGTACATGTTATATAGCGTACTGTATAGTACTTACAAGTGCTGAAAGTCATTGCTTGCTGAACATCTCCGTCAAAGTAAGGTCTGTCTGTCTTTATCAGTTTTTGGGTAGCCAAGTAGCGAATCCGCTTGGCAATGAGAAGTTGCATGTGATCACAATCGGGCTGACGACCTATCCATTACAACGCAGTTTTAAGGCCGGCAAACGCTTCACTAGCTAATGTCCCTTGTTTGCTTCAACTTCTACATTAAGGTCATCTTCTTCCTCGATACTTTCTTCTCTCACACTTTCAATAAACTCATCGTCATTTAGAATTTGAAACCCAGGGTCTGACGAATCACACACCATCTATTCTACTGCATCCTGAACACTAACTTCTGAACTTCCAGGAACTTCCAGGAATTCCAAGAACATCTTGCGATTTATTAGCAAAACTGTGCGATTGAGATTTCAGATTTATTTTGCGAAACTCGGTATGCTTTCGTCTTAATTTTCTTCCTTAAATTCTGAAAGCGATTCAGATAAGCAGTGATTCGGATAGTCGGAGTTCGGATAATTGGAGTTGTACTGTAAACAATACAAATATAACACTGAAGAATTTGATGGCAATATTTGACAGGTATTTTTCTAGATCTGTAAAATAACTAGTATTAATTTCTGACGTCTGAAACGCTTTCATGCCTCTATTCTTTAAAACGTATTCAAAGTATCTGAAATATAGAGCTGCAATGCATTGCTTTATTTTGATTGCAGACATCTCTTCATTTTCCCTTGATATTTGACCAAGCCGAATACTTACTGTTAATTTGCGAATTCAGTTTCTCTAACTGTGCAAGATGAAAGCAACTAAAAGGTTTTTTTTTTTCAGAAACTAACTACTACTATGTAGAGATTCTGGCTTCAGTGTTATTTCTAAATGTTATGGATTTCTTGACAGGAAATGTCAACAAAATAGTGGTTGAGCGGTAAGTTCTAGTAAAAACGAAACAATTAGATTGGGAATAGAGGATCCTTTTTCGTCTTCTGTGTATGTTGCACAATTAGAGAGAAAATTTTCTGCTTCCTTGATGAGATACAACCCACGGGGGGGGGGAGTTGCCTAAGGATCGAATGTGCGCTTGAAACCAGACTTTGTCTGAAAGCCTGAAAAGGAAGGTTAAGCTTTATTTTGTTGTTTTAGGTAAACGAATGTGACAGCTTTGTAAAAAAGAAAAAAAGGGCTTCTTTTGGAACATGGCGCCATTTATTGTTTAATTGGTTCTTGGATTATAGAGCAAACAGAAGAGTAGACAAACATATTATTTTCTTGAGAGACGCTTTGTCGAGGAGTGAAATTATCTCGGAGAATTCCGACGGTGAACGAGATGAGAAAAATATACTCTACTCGTCTTTTTTAGGGCGCTGTTAATTACTCCGTGGTTATAATTGGTTCGGAAAAGGATTTGACGGACTGTGATTGACTAATTAAGTAGAAATGAGGCGTGTTCTGTCAGAAAATGGCTTTTAATTAATAAATAGATCTGAATTCAAATAGGAAAAATTTTGTTGGAAAAAGGAAAAGAGGCTTTTTTGGGTGGGGGGCGTTGGACTTTATTTGAATTGCATGAGGAGTTCAGCGAAAATGAAGAATCAGAAAAAAAAGAGAGAGAGAATGCAGGTGATAACTATAGAAAGGTGTGCAATTTTTTTTAGATGGAGAAAGAATATTTTATTGGATGTGACTTCGAAAGAAAGAACGGGTACACTAATGAAACGTTCTAGTTTTACAGACGTTTAAGGATAACTTATGATAAATATTCTTGCCCTACATGATGAAATTTTGCAGTTTTACAGAAGATGTTTAAGAAATGCCTGAACGATAAAGGTTACTGCCCAGCACTGATGCTTTACAGATACTTCCAGGTTTACGGACGTTTAAGAAATGACTGGGCGATAAAGGGTTTAGCCCGACACTGATGATGTGCCATTATTACGGCATGGAGTTCCTGTTACCGACGTATTATAAAGAGGCTGTTCTGAACTGATATTTAGCCTGTTGGAGAGGATAGCCCCCATCTACGAATAGTAACGAACAGTATTAAAACTGAGACTGTGTTGGGGCAAGATTACATTATTTCATTCCATTTGCAGCCAAATTCTCGGAGTGCTATCCTTCAACATCGCATAAGTTTGTTTTAGATTCCGGAGTTCTGCTCATGCTATGTACTATTTCCCTCCTTTTTAAAAATGAGTAATTGTATAAAGTAATTGCTTTTCTTTAAAAACTGTGTTAAAATTTTTATTAGACTTCGGGGTTATTCCATCCAAGCGAGAGTTCTGGGCGAGAAATAGCTCAATTGTACTTTTACTTTCACTGCATGGTGAATCCTTATAATGAATTAGTTAAATACTTTGTATTTATTAATACATTGCTTTAAACTATTTGAGATATCAATTCGTTCACCGAATTTTGAGTTATTGTTTCTTAATATTTTTCCTGAATATTTAAAAGTTTTTTCCCTTACTAAGACTTTTCTCTCTACTTAAATAAATAAAAAAAAAAAAAGGAATTGCATTAAAATTCTAAAATTTTGTGGTAGTTAGCTAAAGATTCTATTGGGTGCTAGCAAAATGAATGCCCGATGGCAAAGACTTGAAATAATGGGTTCAATGGAAATTCACCGAATATCAGAACTACTTGCGGGATCCGCGCAGATGTATAAAACTTAGCAAACCAGCAATATGTACTTTATTTCTCTCTTAAAAATATATTTTTACTCCTATCTTATAAGGAACAAAGATTTTCGAATTTTGTTCTTTTACGGGACAAAAAGCAAACGTGATTATTGGATACCATTTATTGTCTCCTAATCCTCGATTAGCAGTTTCCCAAATGTCAGTTCTTATGTCATTATCAGAGCGCGGAAATAAGCCCGAAAATCCTATTACATAGCTTAGTTAGTTTTCTTTAATGGTGAAAGCGTACAGTGATGTACAAAAGGCTTTGAAATTATATAGATTCTGCGAAGAAACTCAGTACTTAAATGAGATTTAGAGCGAGCGGTTTTGTGTTTTCCTAATGCTAGAATAGAATATGTGATGTGTATAAAATTAATTATTCTTTGTTGTTTTATTTTTAATTTCATTTTATAATTGTGTATATACGTTCTGAATTCCATGAAAGTTTAACTTTTAATGGGGTTTATTTTACAGATGCCGAGAAAATCTGAATGTCTGTTTCTGGTCTCTTGTCATGATTCAAAGATACTTCAAAGACTGTGTTTCAGGTAAGTTTAGTTGTTTATTCCTGATTTAAATGCTTAACATTTAAACAAGAGTTAAATACTGGAAACACCTGAGAACTTAATCGATAGGCACGAGTAATCGAATAGCAGTTATTTGCAATATAGTTTTCTTTAAACATAATTTTCAGTTGTAAGTACGCTGCTAAAGTTTTTTCATTTAATGTTCAGATATAATAACCTTATGAGCTAGCTAATTTGCTTGCAGTTTACTTCCTTAAATATGAATCGTTTAGAGTTGAGTTCTTGAAATTAAATTTTGAGTTTACTATGCATTTTAGTAGATTAAATTCTGAAGACTAATTTTCTGGAATTCCGAATTAGCTTTGTTGCTTATTTAAAGCAGATAAAAAACATTAATCTAAATCTAAACATCTGTTCCTTCTGTATAACAAAAATAAAAATATATTATTATTATTAAAGTAAAATAATAATAAGAAGCAAATTTGTTTATTTTGTGCAGAAATCCTTATTCATTTATAATGCTCGCCGAAAATCATGCTCCTTTCTAATGGACACTTATTTTTTGATTGATTTATTTGGAGGAAATGTTAAAAATGGGAATCAAAATATATAAATCAGCCTTTCATCTGCTGATTAGAAAGTTATGCAGCGAGCTTGGATCAAGTGAAAAGAACGTAAAAATGCAGAATTGCGAAATAAAGATAACTTTTTTGTGTAATGAATACATATAGATAAACGTAAGGAATTTCTGCATCTTAGTAAATTTTTCCCTTGAAGCCAATTTATTGATTTTCCTTCCCTTTTTATAAAATAGCTTCAGCTTTTGAGCAGAGGAACTAAGGAACATTATGGCATTGCCTTAGTTTTTCTTTGCTTTAACGAAAATCACTTAATGCGAAGCATTAACACGGCAGGAATTTATTTTTCATCTTTTCTTAAAATGCTATCCATAAAAATTCATTTTCTTAAATAAAATCTTAATGGGCTCTAAAGTAATTAATTGAAATGGTACTCCGTTGTATTAAAATTTGTTTTCATTCTGTTTGCAGCAAAGCGTTATTCGTATTTTGTAGCAATTACTATTTTCTTTTTGAGTCAGATGGCCATTGGTTTTTATGGATGAAATTCTCAAGTCGTACCTCAGTGATATTGGACATTAACACTTAGCACATTTTATTTGGAAATCAAAGAAATTTCGTCTCTGTATTCGGGTGTATCGGAGCTTTAAAAACCTTATATGTATCCCAAAACCTTTAGAAAGTATTTTGTAAACAGTTTTTTAATTCAAAATTTCAATCTTTTGAACAATTTAGTTAACATTTTTCTTGCGTTATTATTAATTGTCATTATTTTTCCAAATTTCTGTCTATGAGAATTACTCAAAGCAGAGTTCCAAACATTTGAACTTTTCATTTTCAGATATTTTCTCAAGAAAAACAAACTTTTTATTTTTATTTATGAAAAATGTTGCTGTGTAAAAATGATATAGGAAATTCTCTGATTGTGTTGATACTGAGCATAGCTTTGAGGTAAATTCATCGATAACCTCAAAGTCAGATTTTAGGAAATAATCTGCAAATTAAAGAGAGAAGTTTTTAGAAAGAGCTCACTCCCCCCCCCCATTAGGAGAGGGGAAGTCACTAATTTATCTCGCAGATAGCTAGAGAAGATGAAAGTTGAGTAAAAATGAAAGAGGGTTATGGATTTGTTCTTTTTGAATCGAAATATGCTGATTGCATCAATTCTATCCTTTGTTTGGGTTGGTTTTCAACACCCCGGGCTGCAAAAACTTTAGTAATTCTTTCTCAAAGAAAGATCTCTGGAGAATGGACAAAAGAAAAATAGTTCTCACTGCTCTCATTTTTACCGACTATGTAACCGTAAATAAAAGAAGTAAAACCGAAAGAGAAAAAAGGAAAAGAAAATTGAAAGAAGAATGAGAGGGTGGGGAGCGTAAAGTACTATAAGAAAACAGATAAGAATATTGACCGGAAAGAAGAGGTTTCGTAGGGATGTAAAAAATTATCCAAGTTGTGTTAGAAAAGCAGAATGGGAGTTAATTGGCTTTTTTCGCCTTTCCAGTGAAAATTGTTTTATTGAATACAGATGTGAAATAGGGGAAGAACGTACTATAATCTGCATTTCATCAGAAAGTGACGTTACGTAAAACTACGAACTATTGTAATAGGAAAAAAATCTTGCTTGGTTCTATGATTATTAATTATCTGAATAAAGAAAATAAAACTCGGAATTATTTTAATGTACTGATTGTTATACCCAGTGGAATTTAGATGTTTCTCTGTTAAGTCGAAGCAGGCTTCAAAACATGTATAGTTTAGTATTTTTGAAGCCTTGACTGGACAATAAGTGCTGGTCTTTAATAGTTTGTACGTTATTTGAAGAAAAGTACTCGAACGTTTACTCTTCTGTATACTAAATTTCTTACAAAATACTATTATATGAAACTGGACATTTCTTTCTTTTGACCCATCCTTATATTCTTCGGAGAATGCGCTCTGGTGAATTTTGAAATGTTGTTGCTGAACTTGTTTTTATACTTCTGTAAACACATTAGTGGCATTAGTTTACTGAAATGAGCAGTTCAATCTACCTGTCTTCCAATATTTCAATTTGACCAAAATGTTCTTGAGGGTCTTAGGATTTAAAGATTTATGAAGGCAAGTCAGTTTTCTTTCAAATCCACTCAAACTGTACTTTAACGAGCACTAAGCTCGTTAAAACGAAGAAATAAGATAACGTTGGAAAAAAGGGCAGGCAGAATCCATTGAGCTGTAAATATAGAGTTTTCTATTGCATCTACGTATTCTTGAGCATTAAGATTGTAAGGATCCTAAGTTTTACTAACGTTTATTTTATTTTAAAACTGTACTATCACTTCTTATTTTCTACTTCCGGCCAGAATTAAATGCTTTAACTTGTTTATGCAAATTGTCTTGCTAACGCCCAAGTATTAAGTTGTGGCTTTTTTCCAAGAGAGAGAGAGAAGGAGATTTAGGAAGCAAGCCGCTTGCCACTGCAGTTTTACGAGTTTTCACTCGGTTGCTGGTTGCCTTTAAGGTCAGAGGTTTAGCCCTCTTGATATTTGAAAAACGTATTGTAGTTTCAGCAGCTCGGCGTACTACATACGTACCCTTTTAAATAAAGGCCAGTCTTAGTGCTAGGCATTTGTATACTAATTCAAAGTTAGCTTTTAGTTAGAGGTTTTATATTCTTACGTTCAGATCACAAGTGGTTAGTCTCTGTATCCCGAAGTTCGGGAGTACTTGTAAAAGTATAGAAAATAAAGGGTTTCGTATACCCTTCCTGCTTGTGTCGTCTATTACACACAAATCTTGAACATAGCTTGAGTAAGCTCCCTGTTCCTTTCAGGACACATCACGTTTCCAAAGCAAATCAAGAGAAACACAAATCCTGACAAGATATCCAGACTCAGGATCTGCCTGAGTTACAAAAACCAATCTCATGGCATAACACCTTATCTACCAAATTTTACAATCAGCCCAATAATTTGAAGAAAAGATTTATTTATAGGATTAATTTGGAGAAAGTAATGTTATTCTGGTACACTGGAGACCCAAACTCTTATATCTAATCGGGAAAGGGTGAAACACGATGAATTCCTCCAAAGACCTTATTTTCAATACTCCACATTATAATCGCTGAGAACTTGCATCCTGCCTTTGATTCTTCTACGGTTTATCATGGCTTTGTATTTACAAACTCGATCACTAAAACCTGTATTGGCTAGTTCTTGACAAAAAATGGGTCATTAGTAAGCTTTTAGAGAAGTGCAAAGGTTCCGTACTGAATATTGCCATCGGAATGATGCGATTTTGAAGAGCTACGTGTTTCACTAACCTGTGGTATCTCTATACAGTATTAATGCAGCTTTTAATTCATATTTGAGTTGACGTCTGTCAAACCGAGATTCGCAATAACATCATGATCTAGTAGTGTATGCACTTATTAAAACTATTATTATCTGCATTTCGCAGACAGTGAAGGTTGAATGGAACTAGTGAGAATAATTATTCGTGGGGAAATAAGAGTTTATCGTTGTCGTCTACTTATGAGTAAACGAAAGAGAAGAAAAATGTGTTTTTCCATTTTTTGATTACGTTGGCTGACTGTTGATTACAAATCACGTTACCTTGGAAAACATGTTTTTAATATGATTGTGTGCCGCATTTCCCATACTAAAGAACTTTAAATATTAGTGTTTGTAATTGAAAAATCTTAAGGTCAAATAAAATATAAAAGTGAATCAAATGGTAAATTGGATGTGTTTATTATGGTTGATCATTATTAGTTTATTTTATTTTCTTGGGAAAATACTCCAAATTTACTTGTGGATCTGTAAGTACTAATGGCAATAAATCGTCAAATATTGATTTCCTGGTTTAAACGTAACTGGAGATGATTGCTGAAGCTTAGCATGTACATCTACCTAAAAATGTGCTATTATGAATTTTGTATAATCAATATTTTAAAAGGAATTCGAGTGAGTTTTGTTCGTTTATTTTTCCATTTAATACTACTTTGTTTTTATTTTATGTACAACGACTGAAATGAATTACTTTTTCATATTTAAATAATACACATATTTAGTTTATGTAGCTGAAATCTCATTTTATTCTGTTTTTTAATTATAATTTTATAGTTATAAATAAAGGAAAAAATGATTAAAGCAAAAAATTTCATTAATGATGCTTGATTTATCTTAAAACTGGGAAACCAAATGGAAAATTATATTTTTTATGTTTTTAATTTTTGAATTATGGTTTAATGAATGTGAGCAAATAAAGGACTTGTAACAGGATTATTTGGATGTAACCGAACTGTTTTATCGAACGCCATCTAGTGGCCACGAAATCAACTTACGGGAACTTCAGCTACTCTGAGGAAAGGTCTCCGCGACTCGAAATGTTATATTCTAAATATTAGGTGTTCCGTTTTGGTGTATATTCCGTTTCGATGTATATATTCTTTATAACTTTTTT